AGTCAAATTAGATCCTTGACAGTTTGTATCATATCACCTTCCCTATGAACTTAAGCACCAGGCCATCAGCATATATATCTGCTCTCATTTCAGCTATTGGTTCAGTTATCCTTAGCTTAAGTTTTGGCCTTAAACAAATTTCTGATGTATCACCTAAAGGATTCATGGGTGCCCAGAATCCATGAATCCTGAGCTCTAACTCTGCTATTGTGGTTACCTTTTCCAGGACTATCTTACTGAGTGTAATCTCTTTGCTTAATGAGCCCAACACGTTCTCTCCTGCCAATGTGGATGCATCAGTCATGTTCAGGAAATGGAGGGACAGTAAAGGAAAAGACAAGGAGTATGCTGAAATCATTAGGTAAGCTTTGTCATGTGTGGTGCTGCTAGTCCCCTGCTTTGAATTCTGTAAAACAGGCTACCTGCAGAATTTGCTGAAACCGAATTCTCACGGTGGTTGTTTCTCTGGAAATTAAACTTTGCGCTGTTATTCCAAGCCCTGGTTTCTGGTCTGTAGGGCTTTCAGTACTGAAGTGGTGCAGGCTTCTAGAACAGAAGGGCAAGGGTGATCTGTCTTCAACTTGGTCTTTTCTTCACACTAATCTGGCATGATGCTCTGCAAAATCTCCTGGCTGCTAGTAAATCCTAGTTGAAGTCACTACTTGCCTTCGAGCACTGCTGGCATTGTTGGGGATGTGATTCAAACTGACTGCATCCCACTAATTCTGTGCTTAATGCACTCATGAATCATAAACTTGTCCCTCCAATTTGAAGGAATATCAGCAGGATTTAGCAAGCATTGTGAAGCTGGGTTTGATTAGCTTGAAGCACTGTTCGGTCTTGACTGTCCTTTCCTCAAAAGTTGGTTTATCAGGTGCTGTTGGAAGGCAACATAGACTTTAGCCAGTGTGGCTGTGGAACTGCAAATGGGCAGCCCTTACCGCAGTGTGATTTCTGTCACACTTGCCTGGCAGAAGACCACATCTGCATTGGTTCAGCTGTTGGGCCTGCAGAATACCTGTTGCTGGAGCTAAGCAGCATTGTCAGTTGCTGGCCTGAGCTGTGCAAGGAGCGTTATTGGGAGATTATCTTAGTCCCTCAAGCTGCGTTGGCTTCAGTGGCACTGGATTTATTGCATAATCACAGTATTGCAGACTGTTCCTGAAGAGCAGGCAGGAGGTGGGTGAAGGGACAGGCTGCCACCTGCTCCTCTCCTGCTGGGAAAGAGCACTGGTGAGTAGCAGTTCATAACCCAGGTGCTGCCTGGAGGCACTAGCTAGAGCCTCTGTCCTGAGGCAACAGGAAACTCTTGTATCCTGCCAGCCCCCAAACAGTGTCAGGTTACAGCTGTGTCCTGGGGTGCAGCTGTGAGCTCTACAGGGGAGCAGAGAGGTGCCAAATGCTCCTGGAAAGCTCCGTTCTGAGCATATTGGGGTAGAGGCATCAGTGGTGGAGAAGGCTGTTGGATAGCATCTCCAAAGCCATCTCAAATAAGTCATCTTGGGAAACCCCTGAACATCCCTTCTGTGGCAGGGCAGCTAAAGTAATGAAACTTGCTCTGAGCTCTGGCAGGTGTCTAACACAGAACTCTGCAGAATAAGTGATTTTTGTGTTGTAAAAAGAGTGCATGTTGAAAACAAACTTGGAGTACTTCCAAACCCAGGGCTATGGGAAATGAATCTGTTTATAGTACCATTTGTGATGCTTCAGCCAAGCATTAGCAGCAGTTGAAATAACTGTCCTGACTCTGAGCTGCCAGGAGTGTTTGGTTGGGGGTGCTGAGGGATAGCTGTGCGTACAGAGAGTTGAGATAGTCGAGTTGTGCTGCAGCTGGCACGCAGTTCCAGTCATGTTGCTCTGTCCTCCTTCCCACAGGAAACAGGTTTTGGCTACTAAAGCCGAGGCAGAGAAGGATGGCGTGAAGGTCCCCACTACGCTGGCAGAGTACTGCATCAAAACTAAAGTGCCTTCCAATGACAACAGTTCAGATTTGCTTTACGACGACTTGTATGATGACGACATTGACGACGAAGATGAGGAGGAGGAAGATGCCGACTGTTACGATGATGATGATTCTGGCAATGAGGAGTCGTGACCTGCTCCCTCTATGCCCCTGTACTGCCCTGCCGACTCAGGCCAGAAGGGAGCAGCGGTAACCTAGCAGCAGTCCAGCAAAAAAGTGTGGGGGGGGGATCAACAAACTTTTGTCTCCTGCTGTCTCCTGTTGTATGGATCTGTTTGCTCCTTTTTTATGGACCTCTTAGAGACCCTCCACAGAATGTCTGAATTCTTGCATTCTTAACCCTTTCATCACTGTATTATGATTTCTTTTTAAAAAAGAAACTCCCCTTTTCACTTCTCTACGAAACGCTCACAGCGAAACAGGTTTGCTCGCGTTTAGATTTTTGAATTAAATACAGTCTTGCATTGAGATGTTTAATGTATTTAAAGCTGGAACAAACCCATTGGAAGCTGGGTTTTTGGGAGCTCAAGCGCTGCATTTACTGGGAAGAAAAAAATCCACACAAAGCAAATTGCCAAGGTTTAGCTGCTCCATTTACAATAATAGCGTGTGTACATTCGTTTAGCCTTGTGGTGGTGGCTTTTCCTTTTTAAGGTGTGGGGCGGAGAGTGTAAAGCTACTGTGTGTTGAGCTTGATGGGATGTTACTGAAAGGTACAGTATTCCTTTTCAGCCTGCTCAAGTTAGGAAATAGCTGGCCCCTGGAGCCTCAGAGGGCACAATCAGCTTTGTCTCTGGAAAAGGCTTGTGATATGAACCCTAAAATAAACACTTAACACTTCACATCTGTACAACTGAGCCCTGGGTTGCTATTTATTTGATCTTATTTTTTTCAGACTAGGTTGGGGTTGGATAAAGTACTGTTCAGTTTTGCAGTGCTGCTGAGATGTGCTGCCAGCTGCCCCTCTGGAGGGAGGAGACAGACGTGCTTCCTGGCTGCCAAGAGGGCCTCCCCAGAGGTGACAGCAGGCTGTTTTGGCCAGCGTTCATCCTGACCTTGTCTTTGGAATTGGGAGAGACGGATAGATGCTCTAGTCTCCTGCTCCAATGCTTGCTAGCAGGCCTTGCTTCCTGCAGCTCAACTCCAGTGCCCACCTGAGCCTTTTCTGCTGTGCACGTAGGTCGTGAGGTGGCAAACAGCCTTGCTCTAGCTGCGCTGCCTGTGGGCTCTGGGAGGAAGGCAGGAGTCAAAGCTGCCTGTGACAGGTGCCTACCCCAGAGCTGGGGACACCAGGCTGCTCTCCCTGCTGCAGGCGCTGTGGTCAGTCTGTGGCATGGGGCAGAGGTGTGTGCTGCGCTCTCCTGCTGCGCACTGGCTGGGTGCTGGGCAAGGAGGTCCCGCAACCCTACAGGTAAAAGGGATGTGAAAATCTAAGGCTGGAGGAGGCCAGGGGTAGGGTTTGACAGGGTATTTAGCAGTGCGCTTCAGCCAGCGCATGGAGCTTGGCCTCCTGCATGTTCCTGGGAGCTCCTAGCAAATCTTTCTTACAGTCCCCCTTCCCCCTTGAGGAAGGGGGTTCCTGCATGCTCTTTTCTGCAGAACCTGATTACTCAGTCCCTCAGCACCCTAAACCCTTTGCAATGTGCTCATTTGGCTGTGGTGCAGTGGCCTGAATTCACCTTTAGGATGATACCTTGATCAGCAGCCAGTCTTGCCTTAGCGTGCCGAGCCCTGGCACTTCTAGGATCTCTTAGTTAGAGGAATGAGTCGGATCCTAGGTGCTTGTCCCTGCCTGGGTGAGCCCCTCCACTCCCAGAGGTACAGAAGAAGTTACCCTGGTAAGAGCTACTGGCTCAAGCGTTTGGCTCTGCCTCCCTTCTTATCTCAGGGTTTTCAATGGTACGTCACCAGCTGTGGTCTCCAAAGCAGTGCTTTGGTGGGAGCGAACTTTGTGTGATGGGGGGGTCTCCTGGCCACTCTCAGTGCAGCGGTTCTGCCTGTTGGCCCACAAAACAGGCAGAAGTGTCTGTGGGGCCATGAGTTGGCTGTGAGTATGCAAGCTCTTGGCTCTGCTCCCTGCCTTGAGGGAGAGGAGGGGACAGCAGACCCTTGGCTGGGGGGAGGGGAGGGGTTGGCAGTGCTTTTTGTAGTGTTTAGAGCCATTTGCTGAAGTGAGCAAGGCAGATGTGCTAGCAGTGTTACTGGGGCTGGGGCTTGCTGTATTGGCAACAGGTGCCAGGTGAAAGGTTCGGGCTGCCTCCCAGGTGGGCCCTGCTCCTTCTCGCCCCAGGGCGTTCCTGTAAAATATGTCCTGCTGTACCATGTGGAATAAAAGCAGCCGAAGTGCTGGTGTCTTGTCCCTTAGCGCTCCCTGAGATGGTCTGCCCTCCTGCTTGCATGTTACCTTTGGAGGTAGCGGGACCTCTCCTGAACTGGCTGGCATGGGTGGCTTTCACAAGGCCCATGTGGCTTTGCTTGCCCTCCTCATCCTTCCAGGAGGGAGTGACTTGGTCTCTAAAGCACCTTTTTTGGTGCCAGCAGCTGGGGCTCAAGTGTAGCTAGTTACCTGTGTGGGGACAGTGTGAGCCCTGCCAGGCTAGCTGCTCCAATCCAGCCCCGCACGGGGAGTGCCAGCTTCAGCAAGCAGGACTGTGTGGGACATGATCAGACAGCAAGACCTAGGCCTAGCCCTGGGACTCCTTGCTGCAGGACTGGTCTTAAGATAGTAATGCCTGCCTCCTCTTGGGCAGCTTGCGTCTTGCAGGGAACCCAACCTACATTTTTTTTTTTTGTGGGGGGGGGGGAAGCGAATAAGCAGAGTATTGCAACACTGACTGTGCTGTTGACTTGGCTTGAAACGAGGATACTGCATCTTTCAGGATTTCCCTTGTACTTTTGACCGTCTTCACTGTATACTCTCCAGTGACTTGTATTTTCAAGCTTGGTGTTGTAAGATGCATTATCATGACTCTTCTGTCCCCCCCCCCTTTTTTAAGGCAAAAACAAAACAAAAAACATAAACAAAAAAAAAACCCTATTTTGAGAGCTCTTACATTAACCAGACTAATTTCTCTTCCCCACTGTCCCTTGCAGTGTCATTGCTTGTTGACTTGCTGGTTTCCTTTTTTTGAGATACAAACTGAAGTATGAGGGTTTTTTTTTTTTTTTTGAAGCTTAATATTAAAGAGATATTGAGGAAAAAATGTTTACTTAATCTGTGTATTTGGGTTTTCTTAGCCCCTTTCTCCTGTCTCAACCAATATTAGCGTTTACATTTGCAACTACAACCCTATTCAAATGCAGTTTTCAACCATTCTGAAACCAGCAGGGTACACTAGATTTCTTAGTAGTTTTCTTAGCTGAAATCCCAGATGTTTTCCCTTTTTTTTCTTCAGTATAATTTACCAGAAAAAATTAATTGATGCATTTTTTGTGTTGTCTTCCCCTTCAGTAGTTATTTTTGTCTTTTCTGCACATCTGTCTACTAATAAAAAAAAATGTGAAATGAAAATAGCCCTGTATTGTTACTGCCCTGTTAATTGAGCTGTTTTATTTGCATGAGTTATTCTAAGCTTTAAATAACAGCTATTTAGAAATAAGTTCTGCATATTGGTCTCAGCATTACTAGAGTTATGCATATTTAACTATGCAAAAGGTTTGGGGAAAATAAAGCTGGTTTTTCTAAAGTGGCCTTGTACTCCACTAGAATAAAGAACAAACTGACTTAAAGTATGTCTGCAAAAATGCCCTGAGGACCTTGCTGTGCTGTAGAGTTTTCACAAGCCTTAAGGGAGGCATAAGTGTGTGAGAGATTTGACCTGTTTCACAACGTTCTTGAACAACTGGTAACTTGAAGCAGGACTCAGGGCCAACCTGCAGCCGAGAGGGGGACTGTGCTTTGCCATAAGACAGGGCAGAGCAGGCCCTAAGCACAGCATGGGGTTAGACAAATTGCTGGGGTAGGGGGAGGGCTTTTTGTAAGCCAAATGTGCCCTTAAAGGGCAGTGCTGAAGGCCTGGGGCAGGGGAGGGGTGGTCTTTGAGCTTGCATGGAAGTCTGCTGTAGGATAAATCTAGGCCATATCTTTAACACTACAAGAAAATCTTCCTCCTGCTCCCATGCTCTTCTCTGTAAGCTGGA